AGAACACAACTGTGAGTACTGGGTCGGCGTCCATTCCTTCTGTCCCGGCGCTGGCCCTCTTGTCCGGCGTACTTTCTGTATCCACTGCTTGCGAATTTTCTCGTCCTTCGGGAACTTAAAAAGGCTAATAGTCTCAGAATTTTTGTTCGAGCAATGTGCTGCAACACACCGCCCGGACATACTGCCGAATGAATCCCCGAAGATGAAACCAGAGGCTCGCTGAGAAGTGTTTACAAACCAGTTTACAAACCAAACAAAGAAAGTTTTCCTTTGTACTAAGCCCACTCAAGCTTGTCCAGGCATGCCGCTGGCTTCTCGCGTTACGACGCTGACGTCATTTCCGGTTTGTGCCAGATCGCGGAAGTGAGTCGCGAGTGTCTTAGCGGCTGTGTGGCGGGACACTCAAAATTCGTTTTTTACAAGCGCACGAAGTAATTTTATCGCGAACATGCACGGTAGTTGTAAAATGTTACCGATGTTGATTTTGAACAGAAAATGTTGTACTGGGGTGACATAAACACTTTAAGGTAAGCAAAATTTATAACCATTTTTATGTACTTCAATTGAGTATAACGTTACTAGTAATAGTGTCACGAATGGTGTCACGAATCATAAGATTGGCAATGAAAACACACATTGCCATGGTGACGGTTGTTGGTAGGGTTTTTGTTTGCATGGCCCTTTAGTGAGTGCCTCCAAACCAACTGAAAACAGCCTTTTTCTTGGTATGTGTGGATAAATGCTGGTATTTTCCAGCTGTAGAGTTATTTCTTTTTCTATTTTGTTGAAAAAATGGCTTATAGACTTGTTTTGGCTGCCTGATACAGCTCTAAAAGCAATGCCATGTATTTTTGTTTTTTGGTGGTCAACAGGGGGTCAGAGGTCATGATCTCAGTGTTTCCAATTGGATTGTACTTATCTTTGGGGCAAATGCCAGGATTACGCGCATGCCCAGCCAGAGGGCCCCAAGTGGGTACCCCACAACAGCGTAAAACAATGTAAAATGTCTTAATGTTGGGATCTGTTGCTTTTTTGGAGCTGGATGTTATAGGTAAGGGTTATTTCAGTTTAAAGCAGGCTTGAAACGTATGTCATATGAAACCTGACTTCTGACCTCCATTCCTTGATTTTCGTGGTTTTGGCCAGGACTTTGAGTATAGGACTATGACTCTGTTTTGACGAATCAGACTTTTATGTTTACTGTATGTTGTCTCACTGTATGTTACAATGTCTTGTGTAATTTTGCTGGGCCCCCTTGGAAAACAGCTGATACAAGCTACCCTGCCATCTTGAGATGAAATAAATAAATAAATAAATTTGCATTTGAGGCCACACCAATTTAATTTCTTGGTTAACGAATTTTTCTAGAAAAATAATGGAGCGGGCGGCCAAAAAAATAAAAAAAATAAAAACAGGCCTAGGCCCAAAATGATACGATAGGAGCCATGAAATCAACACACCAGGCTGGTTCAAAATTTAGATAATGAATTTTGAACTTTTAATTTTTAATTGAAATACCTTTTAATGATACCATTACATTGAAAGATGAAATAACTTTAACTACTAGGATGAAAAGGACTGTGTTCAACTGTTCATGGCAAAATATGAGCATTTTGCAGTTTATTCTGAATTTTTATTTTTATTTGCAAATCAGAAAAAAATGAAGCGGGCGAATCCGTTAACCATGAAATTGAATTGGTGTGGCCTGATTATGTAAAAGAAAATGGAGTTTGTGCCATGTTTGGTGTGTCCAGGCCAGGAAAGAAGTCCTGAGTTTCCATGCTATCATCAGCTGGTGATAGAGGTCAGAGGTCACTTCCTAAACTTTGAAAGTTAGATGCCTTTACTAGGCTTTAGCAGTATAGGATTTTTTTATATCAACAAAATTGACAGTTTAGATGCAGAGTGACCCTATGAATGTGTGTTTTTGGTGCAGTTTCACTCAGGCAGGTGACTTTTCACACCTTCTTTCTTACATGTTTTCCATGCATTTCAATAGGACAGTCCATTACTGGTCTTTGCCCTTTGCTGGTCAAAGTGTGAAATTTTGTAAGTGAAACCTGAGACCTTTGAGATTGTGGCAGTGTTGCAAATTGTTGCTATTCTTGTGTGAACAATGTGTGTGACTTGTGGATTGTGTGTTATGCTGATTGAAGCTTTTTAAAGGTATAAAATCACCATTCAAAATCTAAGATTATATTCTATATTTAATTATTTTCCCTATGGCTTTTACACATTATTGCAAATTTGTTTAGAACATGTATTTAGCATATTGTAAATTTCTGTTCAACTTCAAACTCTATTACTAAGTAAATCTTTCTGAAATCTATTAAGGTTAAAAAATCAAGGACTCTTATTTCAAAACTTGACAGCATTGTTTCTGCCCAATGCATGCATGCAATGCAATTTGTGTGAACTCAGAGTCAGAGATCTCGAGTTAGAATATAGATGGATAATGTACTAAGAGTAAGACTGCATGTAACATATACATGTACACGTACTTCTCAGTAACCTGTAAGAATGCAGGCTGTTAATTTGGTACTAATACTTTTCCAGGGGGTATGTTTATTCTGGGCGGGTATATTTATTAGGTTTTGAAGATTTGTTGGGGGTACTTTTATTCCAGGGGTATGTTTATTTGGACCTGTATTTGCAAGGGACACATACACCGTGAGAACACATTTTAGTAGCATAAACACTGCTTACATGTCAATTTAAAAATTTTCCGGGGGGGGGGTACTTTTATTCCAGGGGGTACTTTTATTAGATTTTGACAATTTGTCCGGGGGGTACTTTTATTCCAGGGGGTACTTTTATTCGAGAGGTGAAAGTAAATGGACAATGGGAAGTTGGACTACCCTGTCAATATGAGTTTGCTTAAGTTGAACACTCAAGTAGGTGATTTTTGACAGCTCAGTTCTTATATGTGTACCATAGATCTAAATTCCAATGGGGGCTGTGAGACAAAATGTCTAAAAAAGTCCTAAAATTCTTGCAAACTGCACACAATACTGTACCATACTAAGGCTTGCCAATGAGGCGTCACCAAAAATATATGTCAGATTTTATTCAAACAATTCCTGAATAAATGACACATATTGTTTATTTTGCAGCCAAGAAATGCTGTATCAACTACACCAAGCAGCCATCTGAGGTACTACTAAGGTGCAGTGCCTTGGCAAACTGGTGCTCACCTTAAGTACACTGACAAGGCCAGTAAGTTGTTCTGTCTTCATGGCTCGAAATACTTTTTTCCAGGTACGTTTAACGAGAACATTTAACTATAGAGCAGCAGCATTTTATAACTTGTTAAATCTTCTTCTTCTTCTTCTCGGGTCATCACTTGTTAAATGATGAAACCAAACAAGCAACCACCTTAAGTACACTGACAAGGCCAGTAAGTTGTTCTGTCTTCATGGCTCGAAATACTTTTTTCCAGGTACGTTTAACGAGAACATTTAACTATAGAGCAGCAGCATTTTATAACTTGTTAAATCTTCTTCTTCTTCTTCTCGGGTCATCACTTGTTAAATGATGAAACCAAACAAGCAACCACTTTAAATGCTTTTAAGAGATCACTAAACACATGACCCTGACCTCATGGACTGACTTATCTTTCGACTGGAATGACACGGACTATGATTATGCCTTATGATTTTGACTATTTGTTTTGGTTGACATGTCCTGTTTCCAGTGATTGACTACTTGTACTCTTTGTTCATATTATTTATTATCTCTATGTTTAAGTAATTATTGATTGTCTACACGTATGTCGTTGTAACTTGTTCTGTCTTCTGTATCTGTATCTGTATAGCCGGTATAACCGGCTTTCGGCATAACACACCAGCTGATGTTATGTTGGGCTACCTTGGAAACCAGTTGTCCTAAACTGAAGGTACCACCCAACCGTTTTTAAGATCAATAAATAAATAAATAAAAAACATGCAAAATTGCATGTTGGCAAACATTTTAGGTGCAATTTAAAAAAATGTGCAAAATTATATGTAGTTGGTCTGTAACTGTTTCAGCTGGTTTGTGGTATCCAATTTCTTTCCAGGTGCAGGCTCGGTGAAAGGATCCTGCAAAAAATAGCCCATGTGCAATAAATTAAGCTGACCTTCCTAGTCTGTGTTATTTGCATTTACATTCCAGAAAAAAAAACTTTAAAATGGAAAGCTTTGGTTGAAACAATAAGAAAAATATCAAACGAAAAATTGCTGTATTTCTTGGCATCAGCTTGAACTTTCCAGGGCACTGCTAGTGACTTGGACCCCCGCCCCTCCCACTCTTTACAAGTCACAAACACTATAGTAACTGTTGGAACTTCCTGCAATATTAATAGCATTTATACTGCACAAGAAGAAAATTTACCAACAGTCTTGAGAGTGAGAGCACTAAATTATTTTTATTTTGCATATTTGTTTCCATTCCCATGGTAAGTGCAGGATATGTTGAGTAAAATATACTGCTTATACCCATGTAAAAATAAAGTATTAATTTTTGCTTCTTTGCCAGCAACATGCCCCCCTCCTCCCCCTGCTCTGAATTGCACATTCAAAATATTTTAAAGTGCAAATCTTGAAAAACAGGTGCAATTTGCACATTGCACATGGGTATTTCGAGCCCTGTACACCCATAATAACATAAATTTACCGATAACGACATGTGAACTATTATGTCTAAACTTTATAATTCTTATATGTTTAATAACATAGCACATACTTATTTGTGTATACCTGACACTGATTTTGTTGTATACAGCCTACTTGACAAGCACCTCCTTGAAGTGCAGAACTGTGCACGAAAGGTGGAAATCTGTGACCGCTGGCTAAACGTCAGGCTACTGAGGTAAGTGAACTATTTCAGGCCTGTGTTGTCGCACCGGCATGGAAGTCAACATGGACTCATGGACCTATGGGTACGGCAGTTGCAAGAACTTCGTTTACCTACAAGGAAATGTGGGTATGGTACATGTACCAGCTACTTCAAGACTGAGGTGGACAAAATGATTGGATAAAGACTGTGTACAAAGATTTCTTATCTCATCTGAAAGTAAAATTATTTTTATACATATGTATATTATGATATTTTTATATTGACTATCTTATTTGATATCACAAACTGATGTAGGTGCAAAATTGTTCCATTCACTGATTTACAATTATTGGTACATATAATTGCATGGCCACCAAACTGGACAATCCATTATGATTTTTACCAATCATGCTTGAAAATGCATTAGATGTTTGTTAATAAAATAAGCAGACTCTGTAAATGGACCCAGCAAGCCATTGCAAGCTAGATTGGAGTATTTGGAATCTTTCCAAATACTGCCTTTCGTATACCCCCAAAATAGTTACTCAAACAACTGGATATGATTTTGGAAATGGCCAGATGTTTCAGGTAGCATCATTTTGTGGGTGACAAAAGAGACTTGCAGGAGAAAGGCAGGTTTAGATGCACAAACTATATTGATATTACCTGGGTGTCTAACCATCACCAACATGTCTTTTGTATTTTAGGTA